CTGCGGCCGGCCTCAAGACTATCTGTCCTAAAGCATTTGATTCCCATAGTAAGCGGTAGCGGTAATACTCTCCGTTGTAAAAACTTCGAGCCTCCTAGTCCCATATTTTAATCAACCCGTGAGGCCGGCCTAAACGCATGATAATACCAGTGATGAATAATACATGATTGGTTAGAATGACGCTGCGCCTTTATTTTGTGGTTGGCATAGAAACTTCAGTTGTCGCGCTAATTTTAAATTACCCCGTACAACAAAATGGTATGGAAGAAAAACATTTTTAATGATTATGTATGGTGAGGCCCTGCCTCACCTGCCTCACCTGACAAGCCGCCACTGTTCTCGACTTTATATTATTACTTTTCGCTTATTTAATTTTTCAAATTTTCAATTTCTCGATTTTGGAATTCCTCGATTTTCCAATTTCTAAAATTTTCAATATTTCGATTTTACACATTTCGTTGTTTCGATTTCGCAGTTTTTCGATTTTTAAGTTTCTCAATTTTTAATCTTCCGATTTTTCAATTTTTCTTGATTTACATTTTTAGGTTTTTCGAAGTTCTTATTTTATACTTTTTCGTTTTTTCATCCGAATTTCGATTCTAAAAGTTGAAAAATCGAAAATTTAAAGGCCGAAAAACGAAAAATTGCAATATGGAACAAGTGGAAAATCGAAAAATTGCAAATCGAAGAACTGAAGAAATGAAAAATCGAAACATTGAAAAATTAAAAATTCAAAAATTGAAAAAAATCACTTTATATGTAAAAAAGAAAAATTAGACAATCCGAACACTGAAAAATCAAAAAATTGAAAAATTAATAACTAAAAACTGAAATTGCAAATCGAAAAATTCAAGCATCCAAAAGTTGGAAAACTGGAAAACTGAAAAATTTAAAATTGAAAATTCGAAGAGATGCACATCGTAAAATTGAAGAAACAAAAAAACGATAAATTGAACGAACGAAAAATTGAAGATTTTAAATTGACAAAAAAAAATTATAAAATCGGAAGATTGAAAAATCGAAAAATTGTAGAAGTAAAGAAAATATAAAACCGAAATCAAAAATTGCAAATCGAAAATTTGAAGAAATAAGAAATGAAAACATCGAAATTGAAAAATGAAAAATTGTAAACTCGAGAAATTTTAAATCGAAAGATTACAAAACAAAAAAAAATGAAAAATCGAAAAATTGATGAAACGAAAAATTGAAAAATTAAAATTATGAAAACAAAAAATTATAAGATCGAAAAATTGAAAAATCGAATAATTGAAAAAAGAAAATAATAAACCGAAACGAAAAATTGTTAATTCAAAAATTGGAAAATTGAAAAACTAAAATATCTGAATTTCAAAATTTTAATTTTTCGAGTTTTCAAGTATAAATTTCATATTTTTCATTTTTTCAAATATGTATAATTTTTTCAGTTTTTCAATTTCTCGACTTCCAAATTCAATTTGGCAATTTTGGGATTTTCCGATTTTTCGTTCCACAAATTTTCAAATTCTTGATTTTTATTTTTCATTTTCTCGATTATTTATTTTCGTTTTCTCGACTTTATATCATAATTTTTCGTTTATTTAATTTTTCAAAATTTCAATTTCTCGATTTTGAAATTCCTCGATTTTCCAATTTCTAAAATTTTCAATATTTTGATTTTACAAGATTTCGTTGTTTCGATTTCGCAGTTTTTCGATTTTTAAATTTCTCAATTTTTAATCTTCCGATTTTTCTATTTTTCTTGATTTCCATTTTTAGGTTTTTCGAAGTTCTTATTTTATACTTTTTCGTTTTTTCATCCGAATTTCGATTCGAAAAGTTGAAAAATCGAAAATTTAAAGGCCGAAAAACGAAAAATTGCAATATGGAACAAGTGGAAAATCGAAAAATTGCAAATCGAAGAACTGAAGAAATGAAAAATGGAAACATTGAAAAATTAAAAATTCAAAAATTGAAAAAAATCACTTTATATGTAAAAAAGAAAAATTAGACAATCAGAACACTAAAAAATCAAAAAATTGAAAAATTAATAACTAAAAACTGAAATTGCAAATCGAAAAATTGAAGCATCCAAAAGTTGGAAAACTGGAAAACTGAAAAATTTTAAATTGAAAATTCGAAGAGATGCACATCGTAAAATTGAAGAAACAAAAAAACGATAAATTGAACGAACGAAAAATTGAAGAATTTAAATTGACAAATCAAAAAATTATAAAATCGGAGGATTGAAAAATCGAAAAATTGTAAAAGTAAAGAAAATATAAAACCGAAATCAAAAATTGCAAATCGAAAATTTGAAGAAATAAAAAATGAAAGCATCGAAATTGAAAAATGAAAAATTGTAAACTCGAGAAATTTTAAATCTAAAGATTACAAAACAAAAAAAAAAAAGAAAAATCGAAAAATTGAAGAAACGAAAAATTGAAAAAATTAAAATTATGAAAACCAAAAAATTATAAGATCGAAAAATTGAAAAATCGAATAATTGAAAAAAGAAAACAATAAACCGAAACGAAAAATTGTTAATTCAAAAATTGGAAAATTGAAAAACTAAAATATTTAAATTTGGAAATTCTAATTTTTCGAGTTTTCAAGTTTAAATTTCATATTTTTTCATTTTTTCAAATATGTATAATTTTTTCAGTTTTTCAATTTCTCGACTTCCAAATTCAATTTGGCAATTTTGGGATTTTCCGATTTTTCGTTCCACAATTTTTCAAATTCTTGATTTTTATTTTTCATTTTCTCGATATTTTATTTTCGTTTTCTCGACTTTATATCATAATTTTTCGTTTATTTAATTTTTCAAATTTTCAATTTCTCGATTTTGAAATTCCTCGATTTTCCAATTTCTAAAATTTTTAATATTTCGATTTTACAAGATTTCATTGTTTCGATTTCGCAGTTTTTCGTATTTAATTGCAATAATGAATCGAAAAATTAAAAAGAAGAAAAGCGAATCGAAAAATTAAATATCCAGAAATTAATAAATTAAGACCCGATTTACAGAAAGCGAAGTTAAAGTTAATTCGCGATTAACTTTTAACTGAGGTCCGTTGCGAGGCAACGCGGATATTTTAACCAATCACGGACTCATATTCCACATTTTAATCCTCTGTTAAACTAATCGAGGATTAAATATTTAACTCGCTGTTCTATAAACCGGCCCTTAATATCGAATAAATGAAAAAGTTATAATTAACAAATAATAAAAATGGAAATAAAATTAAATAATAAATTAATAAGTAAACATAAATATTAAAAATTATAAAAAACTAAACGAAAAATTAAAAAATATAAAAGTTGAAAATTCGATAAACTGAAAAATAAAAAGCCCAAAGGAAAAACTGCAAATTGAAAAAATTGAAAACTCATGAAATTGCAAATCGAAAAGCATCCAGAAGTTGGAAAATTGGAAAACTGAAAAATTTTAAATTGAAAACTCGAAGATTAGCACATTGTAAAATTCACGAAAAAAACGGATAAATTGAAGAATTTAAATTGAAAAAACAAAAAATTATAAAATCGGAACATTTAAAAATCGAAAAATTGCAAAAATAAAGAAAATATAAAACCGAAACCAAAAATTGCAAATCGAAAATTGGCGAAATGAAAAATTAAAGCATCGAAAAAAATTGCAAACTCGAGAAATTTTAAATCGAAAAACTGAAGAAACAAAAAAAAAACGGGATTTACCTTTGGCTAATTTTTTAATGGAGTTTAATAACTAACGTAATAGCAGGTGACCAATTCCTCCAGGAAATCGCAACCATAATTACTATACACCGTGAAAAAATCCACCACTTTTTTTTAATATCGCACTATTAAGACCTCCACACTGTGTTTATTTTCCACAATTTATTTAAAATCGTCCCACGATTTTATGTGGAGAGTAATAAATCAATCGATCCGGGTTTAAGGAACCTATTCATTACATCAACAAAGCTGATGAGAGAATGAAGCGACTATTGATTGAAATAGGGCAATCTGTCACTTTCGAGGGAACATTAATCATGATTACGTTTGATAAAGTTTAATCCAACAATTTCAAATAAATTAATTTAGAAATAAGGGTACTGGGTGTAATGGAAGAGTGTTAAAACGATAACGCAACGCACGAGTGGGAAACGTCTTAAACGATCATTATCTTCTGGAAATTGGATTTGCTTATGGTAACTCGGGCATTAGTGGCCACTAAGCATACATTAAGACTTCATTTAGTGCCATTATGAGAGAACCGAGATAAAAATGACTTTGTTCTATAAAAATCGTTTCCGGTGAGCGACATTCCTAGTTTTTTTACGCACGAAATATTCTCTTTCGGTCATTACGTTATTAGTTCTATTTCTAAGAATCTCCCCACGTGCCACGTTTAATCCCACCAAATTACATCTTATCAATATTCGTGTCTAAAGCAACGTAAAATCCTTTGTGACACCACAAGGAAAATTTTAGTCGAACTGGAGGGATCGAGGGTAGATTAAAAGTTGTTTTCTGGCCGATCATGCAACCATGCATTCATAAATCCAGCCACGAGAGCACGGTATGTGGTTTCCTTCCCGATTTTGTGTTTTTTCGCGATTGTGTGTTACCTTGACAGCAGACAAAATTATCGTAGTCTCTTGTGCAAGCGAGATTTGTGTTTGCTTTTGTCGAGTTTTAATTGTGGAAAAATTGGATTGTCGGGGAAATAATCGCTTTATGCAATCCCACCGACGCCACCAATGTTGTGGTGCTCGATCCCAAAACTTTCCAACATTCGCATCTTTCCCTCAACACACAATCTCGAAATAGCCTTCACCTCCAAAACAGAAACAGTCCCGCTGTCATTCACCGCCGTCACTTCCTCCCGGCACGTTCCAGCGTCGTTTTTCAGGTGGACGCCGGCGTCGCCGCCGCCGCGTGTCTTCTGTTTTGGTGCGTGTCGCGCTTGCGTGCGGGTGCTTTGGCGCCGTCCGAAACGTCGGCCGATTTCAGTAGTGTTTTCAGCCGGTTCGGGAGGAGAGACTGAAATTGGACGGCCGGAGTGCGTTCGGAAGTGCCTCGAAAAATGTGCGAGCCGAGTTCGCGCTGAAAAATGGGCCACTCGAGCGGGGGCGGTAATTAGGTGAGGGCGGCGGAACAGTGCTTGGTATGAGGGGTGTTTGCGAAAAATGGGGTTAGAGCCATGTGGTGGGGGGCAGGTGGTGTTTTATGCATGTGCGAAGTTTCGGGTGTCTAGGATTAATTGGTTGGGAATTGGGGGTGAATGAAAAAGAATTTTGTTTTGTTTCTTTTTGTTCTAGACTAGAACAATATCAATTAATTCTAGACGGATAAATTTTGTAATGTTTTTTTTAAAACACCCCCCCCCCAATCGTAATGGGATGTGGAAGCTGGAGGGTAGTAGCTGCTTGTTAAAACCCTCTCAGAAGATGTCTGCCTAAGGCATTTTGATTAACTTGAACTAGTTACATATCTTGCTCTTTTGTCAGTTTCGATCAAGGGAAAGTCAAGTGAACAGTATTCAGATTTGATTAAAAAATCCGATGAGAAAAATTTTACATACATTGTTTCGTGTTATCACAAATTCATCTCAACTTTTCTGTTTATTTATTCACACGACAACTCTAACTACATCATACATCAAGTAAATGATAAATGAAGCTATAATTTCATTAAAATGTAGTCGGCGGTGTTGATTAAGCCCTAAATTTATTCTCAACGTGATATCATCTGTTCCGTGTGCGGCTCAAAATAATTGTCTTTGTGATGCCGAAATTTTGGCCAGATGTCCATTTAAAATTCCACCTAGACACGACATAGTCCGATTTTTATTCGCCACTGGTCACTCAACGTCCTAGTAATTCTAATCGAGGCGAAAATTTTCCCACAGTAATGTCGAAGTGTCTGAATTTTAATCAAGCATTTAGTGTGTCCTCAGATCATTGCAATTACAAAGTTCCGTGCAGGGATTCCGCCTACATTAAAGGATAAAGCCGAGATAAAGGATAATTAATTCAGGAATTGTGTGTCTTTACATACAGGTGGCTAATATGAGGCGCTTTGAACTAATCCGGTTAAAATCGAAACCGACAAAAAAGTCCGGTTCACTTTTAAGTCAGCACGTCAGGCATGAAGTCCACAATGTTACACCAATCATCCCAATGAATAATGAATGGTTTTTTCGCGAGACGATGATGCAAGGCATTGTTCCATTCCAAGCTTTTGACGAACGTGATCGAGAATGTGTAATGACGGATTTCCGGTCACGTTGTCATGTACGAACGCACTAATGGCTTTATTTTTGTCAAAGCAAGCAATTTGATTTTTTTTTTATTAAATTATAATAGTTCGATTAATTAAGATGCCGTTTCCGTGCTTCGAACTGGGGTAAATTTGTGTATTGTGTGACAGTGTTGTGAAATGGCGGAAATCTGGTGACGGGATAAGCCAGGATATGTTTCCGGGGTGTATCAGAGGGCCTCGTTCCACGCAGGGCTCAACAGATGACATCAGCAAGCAAACAAAGTCCATTGTTCAGGTTAGTTGAGGTCTTTATTAGGCTTACAGGTGGACGTAATCAGCCGAACGCCGATTCAAGTCGGTTAACTTACAACTAAATTTTGAACGTTGATTAATGACTGGATTAAGCAAGCAAAGTCCTTAATGAGTCATGTAGACATAAAACGATTAGGCTTTGTTTCACTCATCCCGAAACTTTCCACTTCTTAGCCGACCCATCCATTAAACGAAAAACCTCAAAGATGAAAGAGTGACTTCAAACGAAACGAAAGGCGGACTAATTTAATTAGGCGTTTCAGATTTCGTGCCAAATAATCAAAATAAATCATTTTCGACTAATATCGAGCGGAAAAATGACCAATAAAATCTTATTTCCCTCTCGGAGTATGTAAAAACATCCACCCTAGTTTACACAGACGCCTCTGTATGTGTGTTGTGCGATGATTTACGACGTAGCTGAAAACTTCTAAAATGAGAAAACCGGGAGAAGATTCAGGCGCTCTCTGATCTCTGCCAATTCCCAATTCTCTTTCCTTTGATAAATTCACACAAGACGAAAAGTGTATTTACTTTTGGGAACTTGATTGAACGGATGCGCACCTGAGGGAAAATGACACGTTTCGCTACAAAATAAAAGAAACTAAAATTTTCTCTACCATTAAAAAATCGACAAGTCTATCAACCAAAAATGATGTTCTTTGTCTTTATTCTTACTCGTAACGGGTTTATTACATCATTGTGTGTTACAACGTTGATAATGATCGATTAGGGGTTGATTAGGTGAGCGTAATTTGTGGCAGGAAATTGTTGTAGAAACCAATTTGGCGTGAAATTAATATTGTCGTTACTGGACCGTAATACTTTTAATTTATTGATATTGGATGAAATCGAATGTTTTTCGGACGAATTGCCACTTTTATGTTTTCTCGACGTTTCATGACCCCTGGTGTCTGTATCCATTTTTGTTGGACACGTAATCTCCGAAACTGGTAGACCAAATGTTGTCAAATTTTGTATGTCTGTTTTGAATATTATATGAAATTATACTTATATACTAGTAGTTACGAATCCGCTTTCAGTTTCTTCGCTAAACGTTCAATTTTTTTTGGAAAATTTTTGAAAATTTTGAATTCACTTTTCGTATTTATTGAAATAGATATCGTAACGGCGATTTCAGATTTGTAACTCGTGGAAGATTGTTATTTAGAATTTCACACTAATTTTCAGTCGACTGAAATGATTTTGACCATTTTTTGGAAAATTTTTGAAAACTTTGAACCCACTTTTCGTGTTTATTAGAACAGATATGCTGACGGCAATTTCAGATTTGTAACCATATTTTTGAAAAATTTTTGAAAATTTTGAATTCAGTTTTCGTGTTTATTGGAACAGTTATCCTGACAGCGATTTCAAGTTTGTATTAGAACAGATATGCTGATGGCAATTTCAGATTTGTAACTAGCGGTCGATTGAACAGATTTTAATCATATTTTTGAAAATTTTTTGAAAGTTTTTTGAAAATTTTGAATTCGGTTTTTGTGTTTATTGGAACAGATATCTTGATGGCGATTTTAGTTTTCGAATTAGCGGAAAATTAGCTATAAATTGACACCAACTTTCGGTCGATTGAAATGATTGTAACTATTTTTTTGGAAAATTTTTGAAAATTTTGAATCTACTTTTCGTGTTTATTGAAACAGATATCATGATGATGAATTCGCACTTGTAGTTGGCAGAAGATGATCTACAATTTGACACCAATTTTCGGTCAATTGCACTAATTTTAACCATTTTTTTTTTTATTTTTGAAAATTTTGAATTCAGTTTTCGTGTTGATTGGAACAGTTATCCTGACAGCGATTTCAAATTTGTAACTAGTGGAAGATTATCTACAATTTGACACCAATTGTCGGTGGATTGAAGAAACTTTAACCATTTTTTTGCAAAATTTTTGAAAATTTAGAACCCACTTTTCGTGTTTATTGAAACAGATATCATGACGGCGATTTCGCACTTGTAGTTCGCGGAAAATTATCTACAATTTGACACCAATTTTCGGTCGAGTGAATAAATTTTAACCATTTTTTTTTTAGAAATTTTTTGAAAATTTTGACACCAGTTTTCGTGTTTATTGGAACAGTTATCCTGACAGCGATTTCATGTTTGTAACTGGTGGGAGATTTATCAAGAACTTGACACCAATTTTCGGTCGATTGAAGAAATTTTAACCATTTTTTTGGAAAATTTTTGAAAATTTTGAACCCACTTTTCGTGTTTATTAGAACACATATCTTGATGGCGGTTTCAGTTTTCGAATTAGAGGAAGATTATCAACAAATTGCCTCCAACTTTCGGTCGATTGAATTGATTGTAACTATTTTTTTGGAAATTTTTGAAAATTTTGAATTCACTTTTCGTGTTTATGGGAACAGTTATCCTGACAGCGATTTCAGGTTTGTAACTAGTGGAAGATTAACTACGATTTGACACCAATTTTCGGTCGATTGAAGACATTTTAACCATTTTTTTGAAAATTTTTGAAAATTTCCCACATTTCATGTTTATTAGAACAAACATCTTGATGGCGATTTCAGTTTTCGAATTAGCGGAAGATTATCTACAAATTGCCACTAACTTTCGGTCGATTGAAAAGATTTTAACTATTTTTTTGGAAATTTTTGAAAATTTTGAATTCACTTTTCGTGTTTATGGGAACAGATATCCCGACAGCGATTTTATATTTGTAACTGGAAGAAGATTACCTACAATTTGACACCAATCCTTGGTCAATTGAAGAAATTTTAATCATTTTTTTGGATTTTTTTTTTAAATTTTGAACCCACTTTTCGTGTTTATTGGAACAGATATCCTCACGGCAATGTCAGATTTGTAACCAGCGGAAGATTATCTACAATTTGACACCAATTTTCGTTCGATTGAAGACATTTTAACCATTTTTTTGGAAAATTTTTGAAATTTTTTAACCCACTTTTCGTGTTTATTGAAACAGATATCATGATGACGATTTCGCACTTGTAGTTGGCAGAAGACGATCTACAATTTGACACCAATTTTCAGTCGACTGAACAAATTTTAACCATATTTTTGAAAAATTTTTGAAAATTTTGAATTCAGTTTTCGTGTTGATTGGAACAGTTATCCTGACAGCGATTTCAAATTTGTAACTAGTGGAAGATTATCTACAATTTGACACCAATTGTCGGTCGATTGAAGAAATTTTAACAATTTTTTTGGAAAATTTTTGAAAATTTTGAATCCACTTCTCGTATTTATTGGAACAGATATCCTGACGGAAATTTTTGGTTTGCAACTAGCGGAAGATTATCTACAATTTGACACCAACTTTCGGTCGATTGAACCAATTTTAACCTTTTCTTTTGGGAATTTTTGTAAATTTTGAATTCACTTCCGTGTTTATTGAAACAGATACCATGACGGCGATTTCGCACTTCTAGTTAGCGGAAGATTATCTATAATTTGCCACCAATTTTCGGTCGACTGAAATGATTGTAACCATTTTTTTGGAAAATTTTTGAAAATTTTGAACTCACTTTTCGTGTTTGTTGGAACAGATATCTTGATGGCAGTTTCAGATTTGTAAGTAGCGGAAGATTATATACAATTTGACACCAATTTTCAGTCGACTGAACTAATTTTAACCACTTTTTTTGGAAAATTTTTGAAAATTTTGAATTCACTTTTCATATTTATTGAAATACATAGATATCGTAACAGCAATTTCAGATTTTTAACTGATGGAAGATTATTATCTAGAATTTCACACTAATTTTCAGTCGACTGAAATGATTTTGACCATTTTTGGAAAATTTTTGAAAATTTTGAGTTCACTTTTCGTGTTTATTGGAACAGATATCGTGACAGCGATTTCGGACTTGTAGGTGGTGGAAGATTATCTACAATTTAACACCAATTTTCGGTCGATTGACGAAATTTTAATCTTTTTTTTTTGGAAAATTTTTGAAAATTTTGAATCTACTTTTCGTGTTTATTGAAACAGATATCATGATGATGAATTCGCACTTGTAGTTGGCAGAAGATGATCTACAATTTGACACCAATTTTCGGTCGATTGAACAAATTTTAACCATATTTTTGAAAAATTTTCCAGTTTTCGTGTTTATTGGAACAGTTAACCTGACAACGATTTCAAATTTTTAACTAGTGGAAGATTATTTACAATTTGACACCAATTTTCGGCGATTTCAGATTCACAATTGCCGGAAGATTATATAGAGTTTGACACCATTTTTCAGTCGATTGAACCCATTTTAGCCACTTTTTTAAAAATTTTTTGGAAATATTTAATTAATTTTTCGTGTTTATTTTCGGATTTCTAATTGGTGCAAGATTATCCATAATTTGACATCAATTTTCAGTGAATTGAGCCGATTTTAATAATTTTTTTTGAGAAATTTTAGAAAATTTTGGAATAAAATTTTACGTTTATTTGAGTAGATGTCGTGAAAACAATTTCGGATTTGTAACTAGCGGAAGATTATCGACAATTTGACACTAAATTTCGGTTGATTCAAATGATTTTGACCCTTTTTTTGGAAAATTTTTGGAAATTTTGAACTCATTTTCCGTGCTTATTAAAACAGATATCATGACGGCGTTTTAGCACTTGTAGTTCGCGGAAGATTATCAACAATTTGACACCAATTTTGGGTCGCTTGAACAAATTTTAACCATATTTTTGGAAAATTTTTGAAAATTTTGCACCCACTTTTCGTGTTTGTTGGAATAAATGTCGTGACGGCGATTTCAATTTCACAATTGCTGGAAGATTATATAGAGTTTGACACCAATTTTCATTCGATTGAACCCATTTTAGCCATTTTTTTGAAAATTTTGAATTCATTTTTCGTGTTTATTGAAACAGATATCGTGATGGCGATTTCGGATTTGTAATTGGTGGAAGAGTATCCACAATTTGACAGCAATTTTCAGTGGATTGAGTCAATTTTAATCATTTTT